TCCAGGAAACGAAAGTAGGAGCCGCCAGGGCGTCGCCGCACGGGCCGCGCAGAGGCCGCTGAGGCCCCTCTCCCGCCGACTTCAGTGGAGTTTGTGCAACCGCGGTGCCCGAAAGGGGACAGCCACGCCAGGCGTCGGGCTCCCGGACCGCATCCAGCCGAGGACTGCGCGGGAGCAGCGGCAGCCGCAGGTGGGCGGGCGGCTTTCTCTGGCGCGGGATCTGCGCGGGTCCCGCACAAGTCCCCAATCCGGCAGGGGCGATGGGGACTGCTTGTGGGGGAGGGGCGCGAGGGCCCGCGGGGTCTGTTTGCTCTGGGGGTGGAGGATGTGGGGTGGAGCTTGGGATTGCGGGAGGTGGGGGAGTTCAAGCGGCCTCAGGAAGCGACCCTGGGGAGCTGGGACTCAGCAAGGGCCCCCAGCTGGCCCGGGGAACACCTGGCCGCCCCAGAACCACTCTAATGACAAGGCGTGTCCTGTCTGAGAACACCTCCAAGGGCTCTGCTCCCCTTTAGCTAAGCTGCCTCACAGCACAGAGAGCAGCCCTAAGTCATGTGCCGAAGTGGGCTCAGGGGTAGCTGCCAGCACAGTGGGGTGTTAGAAGGGACGAGTGATAGAGCCTGCTGGCTGTCATTTAACAGGAAGCGTTCATTGGAAGTATGGCTGGGGCCCGAACTACGCGGGGCACTCTAGAATACCAGAGGACAAGGCAGGACAGAGGCGGTGTGACGCCTGGTGGCTGAGACCGTGGGCTCCAGAGTCAGGCTGCCTGAGTTCGAATCCTGCCTCCGCTGCTTCTCATCTGTGGACTCTGAGCCAATTTCCTCATATAGGTTTTCCCCTTTGCCTCATCTCTGACATTGTGTAACTATTGAAAGAGTTAAAAGAGTTACAGAGGATTACAGAATCAACGCAACTTTGTTAGAGCAGGGACTCTTACTGCAAAAAACTCTCAGTGAAATGTAGCTTTTATTATTTTAAATATTTGACAATGTCCCTGCTTCTCCATGCTCACTATATGGTTCCCATGTAATTTTATTTATGCACAGATATTGCTGGAAGTCTTGGCATGGTCACTTCCCAGTTCCAGGAACAGGCAGTCATTGTTTCTCCTGGTTTAGCAATTTAAGATTGCAGAAGGTGGGACAAGGATAATTACTACAAGTGACCTTTGCTCATTGAAAAGTGTCAGGAATTTTGGAGGTTCCTTTTCCTTTTTTGAATTTTCCTAACAGCAGAAGCTTCTCTTAATGCTGCCATAGCACTTGCAACAATTGTAGGGCTTTGAACAATGAACAAACACAAAGAAATGAAAAATAAATAAATAAATGAAAAGGGAACTGAGTGGATTTCTGCAGCTGGGTAGAAAAGTGATATGTAAAACAGCTGGGTTGGGTCATGGATTGAGCAGACTTTAGATCTGTAAGGGAACTGTTCTTACTGACTGAAGGAACACAATTATACTATACATTCATTGCTGTGTCAATAAGCACTGGTTAAAGGCTTTGTCTTGGACAAGACCAGCCTACTCTGGTTTTTGAGAGCTAGAATGCAGGTGGAGAGATGTTAAACATGTGTAAACTGGCCCCTGTGCACCTCTCCGTCCTCATCTGTAAGGAAATCTCTCCTGCTGTGCAACTTTACAGCCTTGCTTGTGTCAAGCTTCCTGCAGCCTCATAACTTCTACCTGTGAGGTTCCCAATATTTTTAATACCCTGCCACACCCCCAATACATGTCCATGGCCTGGCTGATTTTAGTCTTTTTCAACTCTCAGATGTGATTTTCCTGACAATGCCACCATCATCGCCATCTAAATCCCCATAATGCTTTCTTAAATCACCATTATTTTTATTAGTAGTACTTAATGTATTTGCAAATAAATGCTTTTGTTTTGTCACATATGTGTTATACATAATATTTTTATTATATTTGATTAATATAATACATTGTAATATACTTACATTAATTGTCTTCTCCATTTTTTTTCTAATCTGTGGTATAATGCCTTGTATGTGCTATTGCTTCAATTATTTCTTGAAAAACAAAACAGAAGGTTTAGACTTAGTGGCTATTTATGTATTTATATATTTGTACATATGTGTACATATAGGTGTGTGTATATAAGGGTACTGGGAAAAGTTCATGGAAAAATAGAATTAAAAGATAAAATCTTTCCATGAACCTTTTGAAGTACCCTCGTATATGTATGCACTCGTCTGTGTAAATACACACACACACACACACACACACACACTCTCTCTCTCTCTCTCTCTCTCTCTCTCTAGCACTGCCTTGAATACTGCTAAATTCAATAACCCCAAATCACTTTACTTAATCAGTACTAAGTATATGCATGCACTCGTCTGTGTAAATACACACACACACACACACACACTCTCTCTCTCTCTCTCTCTCTATAGCACTGCCTTGAATACTGCTAAATTCAATAACCCCAAATCACTTTACTTAATCAGTACTAATGATGATACTTTTCATTTTCCAAATAATTCTGTTTTTAAATAGTTCTTAGAAATCTTGCCTATTCTAGTAAAAACTAAATGGCTGCATAAGAAAGGTACCTCAAAGATATTCTTTAACAAATGATATAGTTTAAATGTTTTTTCCCCCTGAAACTCATATTGAAACAGTGCCTTATTTAAAGGTATTAAGAGGTGGTATTTTAAGAGGTGATTGGGTCATGAGGGCTCTGTTGTCATGAATTAATTAATCCATTCAAGGTTTAATTGATTAATGGGGTATCACTGCAGTGGACTATTTTTCATGAGAGTGGGTCTGTTATAAAAGCCAGTTAGGCTCTCAGTGCATGCCTCCTCCCCTGTGATGCCATCCATCATGGTACGACATGGCACAAGGTCCTCACCAGAAGCTGACCAGATGTGGCCATTCCAATCTGGAGGTTCCCAGGCTCCAGAACTACAAGAAATAAACCTCTTTTCTTCAGAAATTATCCAACCTGAAGTATTCAATTATAGCAAGGAAAAACAGACAAAAACAGAAAAATGGTACCAGGAATGAGGTGGTTGCCATAAAAATACCTGAAAATGTAGAAGCAGCTTTGGAACTGAGTAGCGAGTAGAAGAATTTTGGAGGAGAAAGCTAAAAAAAAGCCTGACTTACTGTGAACGGAGTACGAAGGGTAATTCCGGTGAGGGCTTAGAAAACAAGAAGACTAAGGAAAGTCTGGAACTTCTCAGAGAATCCTTAAGTGATCACGACCAGAATGCTGATAGAAATTGAGACAGTAAAGGCCTCTCTGATGAGGTGTCAGATAGAACTGAGAAGCAAGGTATTGGGAACTTGAATAAAGATTATCCTGTTATATAATAACAAAGAGCTCAATTAAACTGTGTTCATGCCCTAGGGCTTATGAAAGGCTGAATTTAAGAGTGACGTACTAGGTTAACTGGCAGAAGACATTTCTAAGCAGCAAAGCACTCAAGCTACTTCATGGTTACTTTTGGCTGCTTACTATGAGATTCCGGAGCAAAGTGATGACTTAAAGATGGGATTTATAATGAAAAGTGAAACAAAGTAGAAAGATTTGTAGAACTCTGAGGTGGCCAAGTAAAGAGTGAAAAAGCATGTTTGGGAGAGGAAACCAAGGGTGTAGTCCAGGGACTATTTGCTAAAGAGATTATTACTGCTATAAAGATCCAGACACTTTTCACCAGGGCAATGGGAGAGAGATCCAGAAGGTATTTCAAAGACCTTCAAAGCTGCCCCTCCCATCATAGACCCATATGCCTGGGAGGGCAGAATTATTTCACCAGACTGGCCTGGGACACCCTCGACAGGCTCACTGCTCTGGGTGGCCCCAGGACTCTGCTTCATGCACACTGACACTGCACCCCTTGGCCACACCAGCTGTGGCTCAAGCAGCCCTGATGTAGCTCAACTCCTTGCTCTGGAAGATATAAGCTGGAAGCCATGGTGTTGTTCTGTTCATGTGATGCTAACTCTAGAATCACAGAAACCAAAACCTGTAGAGGCATAGCAGACTCCACGTAGATTTCAAAGGATGTATTGGGCAGTTTAAAGACCTATGCAGAGACTTTTCTCACGGGCAGAGCCATCAGACAGCCCATACTAGAACAATGCCAAGTAGAAATATGGGGTTAGAGCTGCCACAGATATTCTCCACCAGCCAATTCCTCATGGAGATGCAGGAGTGGGACCCCACTGAGACCCCAGTACTGTAGAGCTACCAGCATGGAATGCCAACCGGGAAGTGCTGTAGCATGGGCTGAGCCCAGCAAAACCACAGGGATGGGGCTACCGGAGGCCTTGTGGATCCAAGCTCTGAACCAGTGTTTCCATGAAGCAGCACACAGAATGAAAAATTATCGTGAAGTTGCAAGATTTGATATGTGCCCTGTTGATATTCAGAATTTCTTGGGGCCTATGGCTCCATTCTCCTGGCCTATTTCTCCTTTTTGTACTGGGAATGAGTCCTCTATGCCTGTCCCACCATTGTATCTCGGAAGTAGATAACTTGTTTTGGTTTCACAGGTGTATTAGTCCATCTCTGTTGCTTATAATAGAATACCTGAAACTGAGTAATTTACTTAAAAATGAAATTAATTTCTTATAGTTGGGAGGCTGGGAAATCCAAAGCCCAGAGAACAAATTTGGTGTGGTCCTTCTTCTTGGTGGGACCTCTACACAGAGTCTCATGGTGACCAGGCCTAAGCAAGAGGAAGCAAACCTCCTTACTTGACCTCCTTTAAAGCCATCACAACCATGCCCATTACTCCATGAATGAATCACTCCATTTACAAGGGCACAGTCCTACAGTCTAATCACTTCTTAAAGGCCCTACTTTCTTCAAATACCATAATGGTATTTCTTACCCTCTTAGCACAAGTTTTCCAATATTTGAACTTTTGGGGGACACATTTAATCCATAATGTTCCTCCCCTGGGCCTCAAAGTTGATGTCCTTCTCACAGGTAAATACATTCATTTCATCCCCAAAGTCTTAACTTTTTTCAGCTCAAAAGTTCAATGTCTCATTTGTGAAATCAAACAAGTTATCTACTTCCCAAACACAATGGTGGGACAAGCTTATGGGTCCATATTCCTGTCAAAAAGGAAGAAACAGGCCAGAAGAAAGGAATAATAGTTCCTAAGCAAGTCAAAAACTCAGCAGGGCAGGCATCAAATCTCAAAGCT